GGCGGCCGGCCGCCGTATTAGGATAATTATTGAGGTCAGATATATTATATCTAATATATTTGATGCTTAAATTGTTTGTTGTTGTTTTTACTTTTTATCCGTCTCTTATGTATGTACATTATTACGTCCGTTAAAATTAGGTCTTTTGATTTTTCTTTGATTTTGTGATTTGGGGACAACAAAAAAAAAAGATTGATCTATTTTTGTTACTGCTTTGTGACATTTTAATTTTCAGATGAATTTGAGAAATAATTGATTTTTGAAGTTTTAGGACTTCCATTTTTTTTTTTTTTGTTCTTTTTTGGGACAATGAATTCATTTTATTGCAACTTGCTGAGTAAAGTGGTTATGAGCTGAATTACTATTTAACAATTAAAATACATAAAATTAAAATATGTCACTAACTCAATCAAATTATTAAATTAATTGAATTAATGGTTATATGAGATTTTTGTTATATTAATTAATTGAATTAATGGAAATAAACATGAAAATACCCATCTAATTAATCAATTCCTAATTATAATTTTGGCAGCTCTGAAACGAAAAGCGATTATTGACTTCACATATTTAACTTAGAAGTTTGGAGTTACTTTTTTACCGGAGAGTTCTGAAGCAGTAGTCCTATATTTGTACGTTTTCACTTTAGAAGTTCGAATAATTTACCTTTTTTTTTTTAATGTTAGGGTTCTCAAGCACTCCTATATTCGCTTAACTAAAGGCAAAGTTGATTAGTAGGATTAATCATTAATTATTCGACTAATTAATTACCAGATTATAGACTAGTTCCAGCTTCATTCAATTGTTCATTAGTACTGCTAATTATGAAGCATTAGTTGTCATGAAAGGGGCAAGTGTTGGTAATGAATAGGAGGAGAATTAAAATGGACTTTTTTGCTAATTTTGTTTTATGAAATGAAAGTCAACACATGCATTATTATTATTATTATTATTATTATTATTATTATTATTATTATTATTATTATTATTATTATATTTTTTTTTATTATTATTATTATATTATTAATATTATATGAAATCAAAATGATTACAAGAAATTGGAGGGGAGCCGAGATACTATCTGGGCCCCCACTCCTTTAGCAATGGAAAAGCTAATACGAGTGAAAATATGAGGAGCGGCACGCGCTCCCGCATCCTGAGATACATAATACTTCTGTATCCTCTTGAGTAGGGCGATGGCCTCCGTGTGCAACTCCCCCAATGAAGAGAAAGAGAATGGAAGAAATCCATAGCCCTTAGTTGCACACAAGGCGTCGTATTTCGCACGTTTGCGCTGAGCGGCATCAATCACAACACGTCCCGGGACGAAGTCAGCCATCCCGAACTGGGTCAAGGGCGAGGAACCAGTCAAATCAACGCAAACGTCAAGCCCCCTATCCCATGAGTAAAGTAATAAGTCAGCAGGGCGAAGTGGTCTATCTTGCGCATCAAGGAGTCCAATATCAACCTCCTTGCCAACAGAGATCCCGGAACGAAAGCAAACATCTGAAAGAGTATCGCGAACAAGGTTATGGCGATGTTTAATGCCAACAACACCGGCACATGACACCGCATGGTCGCCAAATATATCCCCGTCAAAGACCCGAGAGCAAGCCGAACATGGTCTGGAAATGGAAAACAATGGCACACCTAACCGATAGCAGAGCACAGCACGGTAGGTCTTACCATTCATCGTTTGCCCTAACCCAGAAATCGGGACTGCGCGGAGCCAATCTGATGCGTGATCATCCTGTTGCGACTTCCACAAGGCCACCTGCCTAGGAGATAAGGAGAATACAGATTCCGCCGAATCGGTAACTCGAGTGAAATATATATCTGCCAATTTCTTCATGAATTTGGGAATTAACTATAATAAACTTCACAGTGCTCAACAATATATTTTCATGGGTTAATTGATCTGTAATTGGCCTAAAAATGTAGATAGTCCCAATTTGTCATAAGCTATATATCATACTTAGGATGAGAAAGGCCTTGTAATTGAACAAAATTACAATTTGGAAAAGTATTAATGATGCATGCAGAAAAATTAGCTGATAGCTTATCACTAATTTTTGAGCTTATAGCTTATAGCTGAAAAAGTAGCTTATACGATAAAATTGTTTGGTAAAATTAGCTGATAAACTAACTGAAATAAAAATTTCAACTGACTTATTTGAAAAACTAACCACAGAAGCTTATGAGATAATAAGCTCGAGCTTTTCCTACCAAATGAAGCTTATTCGAATACAATAAGCTAATTAATAAGCTAACCAAATAAGATATGACCTAGTTTATTTGTCTACCATAGTGTCGTTGTTTTCGTTCTATTTGTATAATCACTAGCTAGGGTGAAAATTATGTATAATAGTATACATTGAATTTACATTTCATCTCTTTAACCTATAGTACTATTGGTGATTTTACCCAATTGCCTTGTAAAATTTTTATTTCCATTTTGTGGTACTGTTATTAAAATTATACTTATAAAGTACTAAGTCAATATCAAAAATGATGTTTTTAATGTTCTCATAGCTTGTATATCAGTATTTATTTAAATTGTTGCTTATATATATATATATAATATTTATATTTCATTGTGGATTTTAGAAACAATGAACAAATACAGTCGAACACAACAATATTAATGAGTTATCATATTATAAAATTTCTAAAGGATGCCAAAATTCCACAAATTGGTGAACCAAATTGCATCAAATAGCTCACCAACTGGGGTTTTACTAGGAAAGCACTCAATTGAGATAAGTTAATTATTATAAGTAGTATTGTTTCCAATTTATGTTCTTCATTAATCAAGTTGTTTCTCAACAAAACATACATATATATATA